ACTACCGCTCTGTGGCCGTAATGTTTGCCTTTGCTTCTCCGATCAGAACAATCGAGTTCTACAGTTGGTCCATCTGGGCTCATGAGCACACAAAAATCAAAAGGGGAGTACATGTATGTCTCCTATATGACGAGAATCCCTACTTTGTACTTCGAAGTATCTGTAAGCAGCTGCCACGGATCTGAGGAAGTTCACATCCACGAGCTGGAACCAGACAGGGCTTAGTGCTACCAGCCATGGGGAAATGCAAATACAGGTATGGCCGCCAGGCGTATGAGGACGATAGCTGAATAAACTAACACAGCTGATCGAGTTTATATCAATGTTTACATCCAAAACAACTAGGAAAAGATAATATTCGCTGTCTTCCCGATGTCCTCTCCCGAAAGTGTGTCCAGCACTGGTTTTCCGTTAAACCTTCCAGATGTTCCACCTCTATCACCATCTGCAGGTAGCACGGTCGACATGTATTAGGGAAGCATGCTAGACTGGGTAGACCGAGTATGTACTGCAATCTCGGAATTATGAAATGCATCGACATTCTAGGACCTTGCTCTTGCAGCAGCCGGGCCGTGCGCTCAAGGGACTGGATGGATGATTTGAATTCAGGAAGGAATACACCTGAAACGCAATGCTTCGAAGCACTTCTTTACGTTTGTGCCTCTTTCACGGCAATGCCCCGCACAGCTGTACAGTACAATTGGAAAGCAGGAATCCACCACACGTTATGCTATCATGCTGAGTAACAGGTGTGTCTTGTACAGGTACATGACTATTATGTACAGGGGAAAACATTCATTCGAATTCTTCGCCGCATGTGCACCCCTGCACGCCACTCGTCCTAGACTAGAGCAGGCCCAGCTGACTTCAGCCATTTCCAGACTCCACATCTTTCCCTCCGTCGGGTACATCTACACCATGTGTCAATCAATCTCTACTGCTACATGATTGTCATGTAAGTCCAACTCTAACAGTTAAACTCAAAGTACTTGTATTCACACACAGGTGCTCAGTTATATCAATAAACATTCGGTCTCGGCATCACTGCAGTCAGCAGGGAAGTACGAATGGGATAGGGAGTGAAGGATTCGGGGAAATGACGGTAAAGCGGTGACCGTGCCATTGGTTGAGGTCAGACAGCTGCATAAACTTCCACCAACGTTAGTTACATAATCATCGGTGGGAAAGGCACTTGTTGTGCATTGAGCCGCAGTCGTGGCAGAATCTCGGTCAGATACATGCACGTTTACATTTCACCCAGGGGCGCTGTGGGTGGTAGTCCATGCTACGGATCGAGGTTCTAGAGCGTTGAGACTATCCGCAGTGGATTCAGTCAGAATGAGATTTGTGATGCAATGGTATTGCGTTGGGAATGCGCGAGGCTGGATGTCAGTCGTCTCCCGCGTCTACCCCAGCGCCATCTGTCAATCGACATGTCACGCGATGACAGGGGTGTGTTCTTGTGGTCGCACCTATGGGTTTCTGGCGTGTCAATTGCTGATGTGACTACTACTACTAGACTAGTGGCAGTGCTAGCCCCGTCGAGAACTTACTGACACTCTACAGCGAAGTCACGAGAATTCCATGCAGCCTGTCTGAGTGCTACATTGTACATGCACACGCCTGACACGGCTTCATCAACTAATGTTACTTGACTTGAGCCAAGTCAGAGAAGGGAGAGAGTTATTCAGTCACATGTAATTGTACATAAAGCCCAGACTCACTGGCCCAGAGATAGTGGATCTCATCCACCATCATGATCATGTACTTCTGTTTTCCGAGAGCGGTACGTGGGGACATCGACAGTGCCAACACAAACTAATACTAGTACTTACAATTCTACACTGCGAGTGTTATTAGGGTACAAAGCACACAGCTGCCTGGCCTGGCCTGGGGAAACGCGGTGAATGCCCTCGAAAAACGGTTGCACCAGTTCATACAAGTACATTTTTGATTTCTTGCCAGCATCCGTCCGCTTGGCGCTTGCACGCCATCCGTACTGAGCATGTCCAGTCAAGGACATGTATGTCATGTATTGTTGGCAGTGGCTGGCAGTCAGGTTACTTTATGGTGCAGGGTGGGTCTTTGGAGTTTGGTGCAGCATTGGCCATTGCTGATTAGTTGGGTTTAACCGTTACCCCACTAATCCGCAACGCTGCACCCCACGACACACACACACACACACACACACACACACACACACACACACACACACACACACACACACACTACTACTACTACTACTATGTACAGCTACCCTATCGGGCCACGCCGCTCCCAGAAGCGGGAGACAACGACAAGAAGAGAGAAGAGAAGAGAGAGAAATCGCAAAGTCAACAATATTTGGCATGGCGTTGCAAGTCCTGTGGCCTTGAGAACCGTCTTTCGCAATGCTCGCATTCATGACGGCAGTTGTTCCTGGCTGCACGTGACATCCGTTTCGCACGATCACAGTGATGACGGCTCAAACCAGAACGAGAGCGGAAAGAGCGGCGACAAACATCACATCGCAAAGAGTCAGATTCATGGCGAATGAATACAGTGGGGACATCCGTGGACACAGGACAGCGATGCACAGCCAGTCCTCCAGCGCTCCTCAACCACCGCATGCACTTCATACATTGCCTGGCACCCTTCTGTTGTGACACAGGCAACTTCCGCTGGGCAATGCACTTGTGTCGGGCCATGTCGTTACGGCGGCGGAAGTCTCTGGCACACAGCAAGCAGCGCAAAGGTGGCGAATCATCTGTGTGCGGTGGTGGCTCAGCAAGGAACATCCTCCAGTTCTGCCGGTCTTGGGCATTCTGAAACCAGGAATCCACGCCAGCTGCCCTCATGTCTCTCTGGACAACGTCTTTCCAGCGCCGCCGGGGACCACAAGGAGGGCGACGACCACTCAACCTTCCAAACAAAATCTGGACGGGAGCACGGTCTGCAGGCATGCGCGCGACGTGCCCGAGCCATTCCAACCGCCGACGCCGAACAAGGTCTGACACCGGTGTAGTGTCACCCCAGCGCGCACGGAGCGTTGCCGATGAGATTTTCTCCTCCCATTGCTGACGCCGAGATACACATAAGATGGAGCACACACACACACACACACACACACACACACATGCTGTGACACCAGTACTGAGTAGCGTCTACGATCTTTGCTGTAGAACGCAGCACTACACTACAGTGCAGTCACGCATCCACGTCGTGTACTGTACTGTACGAAGTAGTTGTTAGTAATACTATAGTATAGACTTTATATCTATAGTATTACTAATAATAGTATCAAGAAGCGTACCGGTATACATGTACATTGTATAATACTCTTGTAGTATTTTGCAAGACATGTAGTGACTGCGGTATTGGTAGTGTGAAGTCGAGTCCTTGACTTGGCTTGGACCTGGCTGGAATATTGTATTACACATTTACAGTGCTCATTTTAGTGGTCATGGTATCGCACGGCCCGATCAAAACGGCAAAGGATTGATCATGGTATCGCACGGCCCGATCAAAACGGCGAAGAACTCTGTCCCCTGCACGTGAGCGGCGAGGTGTTACTCGGTACATGTACTCGTGTTCGCACACCCTCGATCACGCCGATATCATGGATATGGTACACTCCTTACATGGACTGGACGACATAGGAACGCACAAGGCAGTGCGACGTGCACACAGTCACTGGTACAGACTGCCAGTGCACGTAACCCAGTCGTTGGGCGTGTATGGTACCGTAGTAGATCTACACTGAGTCTGTAGTGACTTGCACACCAAGGACAAGTCAGGTAACATACTTTATTGAAAATCCATGATAATGTGATCGGAAAGATACTGCGCGCGAAAGATGATTGAAGAAAAATCCAAAGTCAAACCCAGGCAAAGTCAAACCCAGGCTGTAGTAGTTGTCAGGTAGTAGTAGTAGACTACTGGTAACGATTTCTTGTGAAGTTTTGCGTTCAGTTTTATATTTCAATTGAGTGTTCTATTTATTTCCGAAATTGGGTTGTCTTTTTGCTTTGACTCTTACTTCATGGTGTTGTGAATAAAACCGTTCTCAAGTAGACTACTGGTAGAACAGGCCTCTTTTACGGGCAAATTAACACAATGGACATGGTACACTGACTACCATGGACTACAGAGTCAGTATCTTTCCCAGTCTTCACCTAGCTGTGCACAGGACCTATGATACCAGCTAGGCATCCTAGACTGCAATGTCTGTCCACACTAATTAAAAAAAAACATTACACGGCTTAGGCTGGTACATGGTCAGGGCTATTAGTATTATGGCTATTATGGCTATTATGGGTGCAGAAACTGAGAAAGCAACAGCACTGAGAAAGCAACAGGAGAATCGAGATCAATCGAGATCGTACATGAATCATTCAGCTTCTATTCGTAGACTACCGAGGTCTGCACTGCATCGGTTGTAGTCCTGGAAGTGGTATGTACATGTATGTACAAACATGTACATGTAATGACTATGTATGATTAATTTTATTTTGCAAGTACACTAGCGCTAGTAGTAGTACAACTACAAGCGGGCCGAGGGAAGCGCCAGCACCGAAAAGACTGGGTAATCATGGTAATCAACAGTGACTACTAATCATGGTGTCTAGCTACTTGGTTCAGAACCACGTGTCCTTGTTGTACCGTACCGTCCGTACCGGAACGTCCACCCGGCCGCTATGCACTTCCAACCGCGCACGTGAGCCAGTCGGTACGGGCAGCGCGAGGCGCGAGGTCGCGAAATGCACGGCACACACTACGACGTCAGGACAGCCTTGTTTTGCCACCTGTTGCCAGGGGTGATCTGTCGTAAAGGTGAACCACATGATGGTTAGCCAATCAGCGCCGCTTCACGCTGTCAGTGTTCATGATCACATGCCAGAGCGGGATGACTCTTTTCGGTCAATGACATCACCTGCATTCAAGCTCCTGATATCACATGGATCATCGCGGCCTGCATTCGGCGGAGTATAAAAGGCAGCGTGCTGATCTCATTTGCTCCATCAGTCGATTGTGACAAGTACTCGAGAATATACTCATTGGACGAAGGCTGCGGGCGGCCTGACGTTTCAAAGAAATTTTGTTCTTGTCTTTTGACCTGTTTTGACATTTTGAGCAATTTTGTGCTGACGAGAAGCTCTTATAAGCGAAGACGTAAACACATTCAAAAATGCATTTTCAGAATTCTTTCCACAACGCGTCGTACGTGTCAGGTGGTGTGATGTTGGATAACTCGATGAGTTGGCCGTTGATCGCTACTAGCAATTCCTCAGTGCCTGGAATAAGTCTGAGCAATTCAGCGATGTTCGCTCCCAGCACTTGCACGCCGCTAGCTCACTCGCTCTATCCTAACTTGGTGCAGGAAACTCCTGTTACTTCCAGTGCACCCTACTGTCCTGATGTAGACGCGTGCAGTCTATCACCTACACCATCATCTCCTTCGATCTGCGATTCCATGACTGATTCTCCTGCTCCATCGTCATCATCGTCGCAGAGTGTGGACGTATCATTTCGCAACTTGATGGAACAACGCAACGCCGTTGTTGCTAACCTGGCAAACCCACAGCGACCAGAGGCACCCTCATCCTACGACGAAGAGCTCAAAGCGATCAAACCTCTTCTTAGAAAGGTAGGCAACTTTCCGTAATTTTCTTCTCTCCATACTTTCCAATTGCAATACTGTCTTCAATGAGTGACCGATTCAGTGTGTGGATTATTTTATAACTAAGCTTGAGGATTAGAATGGTTCTTCTTTAGTATTAAACATTACTCCATGTTGACATTATAGCATGAACACAGATGCACAGAATCTAAACGTGTGTTTCCGTTCTCTCTCTATTCATTTGCAGCCAATCGACACAACCAGAATGAATGACCGCCAGGTCCAGAGGCTGGAGCGTCGCCGTCAGCGAAACAAGCAGGCTGCTGAGCGCTGTCGCATCAAGCGACGCGAGAAGTCCTCGCAAATCCGCCAGGAGCTCACACTCCTGACCCGGTCGAACGACGAGCTGGAGCAGGAGGTGATCCGACTGCGCTCAGAGATGCAGGGCCTTCAGCAGATGCTGTGCAACCATCACTGCCACATTGGTCACAGCAAGGAAGAGCTGATTGCTATGGTATCTGACCTGGAAGCATCCTCCTAACTTTCACGTTTTCCTTCCCGTCTATTTCACAGCACTAACACTGGTGACTAAAAACAGCTGATCTATTCGTATTACCGAGACGACCACATGCTGTGCATGCTGGCATTCATATCACAGACAACATAGTATTATAGGATAATTACAGTAGGATAGTTTAGGGCGCTACAATCGAGAAAATCACGCTTCGTACTGGCTACGTTTGTGTAGGTTTTCCAATAGCTTTAGGACTGACTCTAGAATATATTGCCAAGAATGTATCACTGGTTTAAACATCTAGGATTTACTTTGATAAAGGCTTAGGCACCTAGTAGCTGCTGGTTAGCTGCCTGGATATGTGTTCAATTTCAATCCTGGCGTATTTCTTCACGTTATATTCATTGCTTTGCCTGGTGCAAATTGTTGCTGTCGTATGGCTGCTGTGCAGCTGTATGTACTCGCCGCTAGCTTCTAGCCGGACTAGGTTGCTCTCGCCTTCATTATTTTCTGGTTCAGCTGACATGCAGTTGCAGGCAGGTTCTGCGCTGTGTGCAGCTAGTCCAAACTTACTTATCACCGCCATATATCTTCTGGATCATCATCATCTCAATTATCCGTTTCATATTCATGATACAAAACACTGAGGCAGGACCTCCCTAATCTCAAGCCAGTTTGCTTTGCTTTTGACTTTTGGGTGATAAGGCGACTGTCCCAGTCTGAGACAGTTGTGCCCACCCTCATGATAACCCTGGGATCTATTGTTTCTAGGTCAGCAAAAGGTGACCACACACACACACACACACACACACACACACACACACACACACACACACACACACACACACACACACACACACACACACACACACGCACACACACATACAGATCATTTGTGTAGGATGATCCACGTATGTTGCCACGGTGTCAGTGCTCCCATATGTGAATATGAGATCCCAGTGTGCCACGCACTATTTTAAAAAGTAGCCTACGAGCTACATGTATTTATAGCGGGGCTGTGCTGCACATGGCCACCTGGATAGATAAGTGATGGATGATCTATGATAAATCTACTACTCAGTACATTGTACTGCCTTGACTCATAATTATAGTCATAACCAGTCTAGTCTTGTCGACCAACTGCCCACATCCCGGATGCATAGCTGTGTATCGTGAGTTAGACAATGATGTGCCACTAGTATGTTCCCAGCGCAACAGTTAACCATGGAAAGGGGAAGTTAAGGCAAAAATTAAAATTTCACCAGTTGTAGTCTTCGGGGTGCTGAGTCGAATGGTCTTGGTCCGAGAAAGCTGAGACGCTCCCTTCCTACTTGAATCCCAATCGAACTCGCGCACTTCCACCGAAACTGGGTGACTGCGCCCTACGAGATGGGGATTTGTATGCAAAATGTCACTAAAAGCGCCGTTTCGTTCTTATAAAAGCACGGATGACCGCGATTGGCCCATATGTTGTAGTCTTTTGGACGCTGAGTCGACTGGTTTTGGTCCGAAAAGGCTGCGATGCAGCGTTCCTCCTTTATTCCCAATCGAACATGGTCGAACAAGCGGTCACGTGCTCCTGCGCACACCAGTCAACTGGTCACCGTGCCTGCAGGGTACAACTTACTAGCCTGTTTGACCTTTTTTGGGTGCAGTCCTGTCACTCGAGTTGAACTCGAGTTGAACCTTGGTGTGAAAGTTGTCGCCTGCTGGCGCGCGTGGTGACCAGGTGATTTGGGCACCCAGGAGCACGTGACCACTTGTTCAACCATGTTCGATTGGGAATAAAGGAGGAACGCTGCATCGCAGCCTTTTCGGACCAAAACCAGTCGACTCAGCGTCCAAAAGACTACAACATATGGGCCAATCGCGGTCATCCGTGCTTTTATAAGAACGAAACGGCGCTTTTAGTGACATTTTGCATACAAATCCCCATCTCGTAGGGCGCAGTCACCCAGTTTCGGTGGAAGTGCGCGAGTTCGATTGGGATTCAAGTAGGAAGGGAGCGTCTCAGCTTTCTCGGACCAAGACCATTCGACTCAGCACCCCGAAGACTACAACTGGTGAAATTTTAATTTTTGCCTTAACTTCCCCTTTAACAGTGGATTGATAGTTCCTCTGGCCAGTAGGTGGCAGAATCTGCCAGAAGCATCGCTGATTGTCGTCGGACTCAGAAGTAACTTTAAAATAGTTGAATGGCGCCTTTGCACCTTGCCCCACAGCATACATGACATACATGACATACATGTACACAGTCATCATGGTCATGTGATGTAGTCAAGAGTCCATATGGGTTATAATGGTTATGGACTCTTTGCTAAAAATAATACAGACATGCAGTGGGGACTAACATAGCCACTACAACAAGTACAAGCGGCCGATCACCGATCACAACGGGTCCGCGAGTCAGAAGTCTGTATATATAAGTACGTTCGGGCCTGATTGGAAATTTTTATTTTCATTGCTGTCAGGTTCGGCCTCATTTCCTCTGTGCTGCGCTGACGAGTCCACAAAGGACGAAACAGTTCTGTCCGCAGATTGAGTAATCTAGGAATGTATGTATCCAAGACCAACAATACCGTTTCATGTCGGTCCTAGATAGGCCTGAGTCATAATTTTCCCGCCCCCAGCGCTGCATGGTGATGACAGCATGACAGCCATGTCATTGCAGTTGTGGTATGCATGCAGCAGGACACTCAAGGCAAGTGGTTGATGAGCGTTCAGGACCATTCTGTTCGTCCATAAATAGTAACTGTTTTCTAAGTCAAAACACTGGTTCGAAACTAACTTCACTTCGAAATCACTCTGCGCGTGTGGTTGTGATAGTAAATGATACACAGATTGAGTACTTGATAGTAGATTAATATCATTACACACAGTACAGTTTTGTTCTTCAGACAACCCAGTAGATCTACGAGGGAAGTAGCTGCATGGGGCTGGGAGGATGGGAGTGTGGGAGTGGGAGATATCCTGTTCAGCATGTACATGTACATGTACATGTAGATCTACATGACTGTACATCTACATGACTGTACACTTGGCACTGATAGTATTAGTAACGCCATGGCACATCGGCGTTTCGACGTAACTCGTTACAAAACCACGTTCAGGACTAGGTCATCTGTACTCATTTTGCCCGTTTGCAAGACATGTCGACAGTACATGGTACACTAGCCAAGTGAAACACATTGACATACACTGTATGTCAAGAGTACTAGGACTGTCTATACAAAGTATACATCAATGACTTATGACTATGTGTGTCTTGTATTTCCAAGGCAAGAAGCCTCTCCAACGACACGAACGCAACAGGACTGAGGTAGTGCATGACACGACACACAGTTCAACGGTCCCATGAATGCAAAGCCGACATGCAGTGAAGGACACAGTCATTGTCAGTAGCCGATTCCGAGAAGCGAACGCACTGCACTTCCTACTGCTGCACACAGCAACAAGGACCAACTCACCGGCAACTGCCAAGGGCGCGGCAACTGCTGAAGCAGTGGCATACTCAGTGAGTGACATTAAAACGTTTGATCAAGTAGTATAAAAACACCATACTAGTAGTTATTTTATTACCATAGTACTTTCCTCATTCAAGAATGTACAGCCATACCATACATACACTTCATTGAACAACTGGGGGTAAATGGAAACTTAGATCGTAGATGTGCAAAGTGTGGCGCTGAGTGACAGGCACGATGTACTATCGGGAATATTACTCTTGACACTATCCAGTATCCATACTGTAGTACACAAATTATTTCAGTAGACTAGTGATCACAGCACCGGACATTATTATTATTATTATTATTATTTTTTAACTGGTTTGAGGGAAAGAGACAAACGGGAAAAGTCTGAAGAAAAAATTGACTGTCACCACCAGGACTCGAACCAGGGACCCTCGCTTGTAGCCAGCGATGCTCTAACCACTGAGCTATGGTGTAGTCGTCATCCAAGCAGAGACCGTTCAACGTTTTCTTCAGACTTCGTAACTCACACTTCCTGTGAATCCACACAGGCGGGTGGGACGCAGCCCTCACTGTACCCACACACTTCACGTACAAACTAGCACGCGGGGAGCCCCAAGTCATAAAATATTTTAACTGGTTTGAGGGAAAGAGACAAACGGGAAAAGTCTGAAGAAAAAATTGACTGTCACCACCAGGACTCGAACCAGGGACCCTCGCTTGTAGCCAGCGATGCTCTAACCACTGAGCTATGGTGTAGTCGTCATCCAAGCAGAGACCGTTCAACGTTTTCTTCAGACTTCGTAACTCACACTTCCTGTGAATCCACACAGGCGGGTGGGACGCAGCCCTCACTGTACCCACACACTTCACGTACAAACTAGCACGCGGGGAGCCCCAAGTCATAAAATATTTTAACTGGTTTGAGGGAAAGAGACAAACGGGAAATTATTATTATTATTATTATTATTTATTCTTCTTTTACTAGGGAATTCCCAACAGGCGTCAGCGCCTTTTTACAGGGAACCCTAGGTATAATTTGATGGATGAGCGAAATTCAGCTGGTGAACTAGACATGCGGCAAGCCGGTGGAAGTGTATTCCACCTGGCAGCGCCCAAATAAGAAATTGCACTAAAGCCATATCGGGTGTTAGCGGGGGGCAGAACAAGAGCAGCAGAGACTTGGCCACGGGTGGTGGCTGCAGTGCGAGCACCATGGGCGCGCAAGGTAAAGCGGTCTCGCAGAAGAGGACTAGCAAGTCCATTCAGGCAGCGGTAAACAAATACATAGGTTTTGAAGTTGAGGCGTTTCTCAAGGGCGTACAAGTTAGTATGACTGTATAGAAGAGTGGTGGGAGTCATTCTATCCAACGAAAATATTCTCTTTAATGCTACGCGGCTGGCAGTAAGAAGCTTGTCATATAGGGCTTGTGATAAGCAATGAATATAATTATGCAGTGCTGCCAAACTCAAATGTGGACTGAATGATCGATAAATAGAAAAGTCGTTTGCCAAAAATGCTGATATTCTGCTTTGCGTGGACAAATGCTCCAACCTTCCTATTGACATTTGCACATACTGCGTCCACTTGGGTTGAGAAAGACAGATGTTGACATGCTCAATCAATGGCACAGACTATAATGTACGTCATGCATCACGATTGTACGGTGTATACACCGGTAGGCACTTCGACTACTCAGTGTTACCAAGACTGGCAAGAATAACCTCCTAGCTTATTATACTCTTGCTAGTATAATATGTACATGACAGTACACTCTCACTCAATCACGACACTGGTTTTGCCCCTAAACTACCATGACCGACGATCTTCTCAATCTGACTAAAGCTGCCACTTCGTCCTCACACCCTGACCTTGGCCACGAGCATGCAGAGTAACTACTTCAAGTACATGTACCGGTATTTTGAAGTAATGCAATGAGGAAATGGACTAGTCCAGCACTGGACCAGCAGTCCACGGAAAAGATTCTAATGACAGTAATGTCATGTACATGTACATGTCCTGGATCGAGCAGACGTGACCTGCGGCATGGATTATGTGGCGTCTGTAACAGTCTGTTTGCATTGCAGAGTTGCCAGTTGGTAGCCTGAACCATGACAGGCATGAGGCAGGTGTGCCCGCCAGGGAGCCACAAAATACAGTACTTCAGTACCTGTGTTTTACGACTTCATGGCCATGGCCTGGGTGTGAGGGGTCTGGCAGACCATCTGAGACCAACATGATGTCGTGAATTATTACATGGACAGTGGAAGAAAGTACATATTAAAGGTACATGTATGTGCAAGCCTTGCTTGATACATTGTAGTTGAACATAATACAATCATGTGTTTGAGGATAACAGCAGTGTGTCCTCCGCTTTATACCCCCTGATGCTATCCTCAAAGAAGGTACATGTACATGTACATGTACATGAATGATTGTATACCCACCATGCATGTACAAGTACATGTAGGTCAGACCGTCTACCATGCACTCCACGCAGTACACGTAGTGGGGCTTTTACGCCAGCATACCACACTCACAACCAGGGAGTCGTAAAATACCGGTATTTACGACTCCCTGCTCACAACGATGAATCCATAGACGCATGACAATGCGGTGCGCACACGCCTGCTCCCCAGCCTAGCCTGGGCTGATGCTTTCTACATGGCTAATGATGGTGATTATCAGCCGTCCAACACAATCATTATCAATATTAGCAACGACGATCAAATCACCGGGTATTTTCAGCCTTGTTTATGAGCGCCAGCCAAGGTAGACGTGCCTTTTCCCACTGTGCCAGTAGTTCAAGTACTAATAAGCAATAGTACATCAGAGCTCCCCCTCCCCCCTCCCGGCCTGCAAGAACGCATGGCATCCGCCTGAACAGCTGGAAACCGCATGCCAGAGCGGAGGGAGTTACGCAAATGCAACTAATTACTTTAATACACAGATACACAGACACATTCATGGGCTCAACCAGCACCTTGCACACAACACCACGCAGACCGACACGGGGAAGAAGGGCAAGAAACAAATTACTTCCACAGGCACAGCATCCCACTGCTACATGTATGTGTCACTCTGTCTAGACCATCAATCAGTCTCTTCTCTCATCTATCAGTCTCTTCTCTCATCAATCAGTCTCTTCTCTCGCCCCCTGTTGACATGTCACCTTAGGGAATACTTCGCAGTACTAGTATTGGAAATTGGAATACATAACACCAAATAATTAATTGCCGCCATTCACAACTTTTAGATTTGCGCCGTGCTGCAGCTAGCTATTTACACTCACTTTGCTTTGTGAGTATATAAACCAATACCAAGAGTACATTATGTACTCTTGCCAATACGGATCCAGATTTCTCATTACTGTTTTCTGATGATCGCTTAGTGCGTGAAACTCGGAGTAAAAACACTTTCTCTGTCCTCCTATTGTTTGTGTTTAATACCAAATAATTCAATACTAACCTGATCTATCGCTAATGGTTGGAACTGTTCATAACGGATCATCGGAAAAGTGATGTTCTTCAAAGTACAGTGGTTATCACTAACTACATGACTAACTAGACCGTGTACCATGCAGCAGGATCGCTCAGGTAGTCTGGATACACAGCATGTATTTCTAGGCGAGATCCTATCCCGATCCGAGTGAGAAGGCCAGTCGCCATTACAGCAGCTCTCTCTCTCTCTCTCTCTCTCTCTCTCTCTCTCTCTCTCTCTCTCTCTCTCTCTCTCTCTCTCTCTCTCTCTCTCTCTCTCTCTCTCTCTCTCTCTCTCCGGCGTATCGTGGATCGCACTCCTGGTATTGGTAATTCTCTCATTGACATCAAGCGGGAGAAGGTGAAGAGAAAGAAGGAAGTGTGTCTGAGTCAGGCTGAGTCGACACGGCTTATCACCAATGATGCATTGGACGCCTTGCGGCACACCATTATCCTCGTCAGTGAACCTGGCGCCTCGAGTTGGCTTACTTGCCTTGAAAAAGTATGGTTTTTCATTGAGCAAAGCAGAGATCGGGGACGGTTGGTGCCTCCGCTATGGTTGGGTGTCACCGATGTCGCCCACTCATTGTCTTTGTGAACGGGGCAACGGTATCGACCATGCCTTGTAATATCCCCTTGGTGGTTTTACCATTATCTGCCATAATGAGATCCGGGATGTGACAGCCTCTCTCCTTCAAGAGACCTGTCACTATATTTCCGTTGAGCCACTCCTGAGTCCTGAAGCCACTCACTGGGGAGAGGACGAGGTACATGATCATCGTCACGGGAAGAGCACGCGCGGCTTGATGTCTCGGTCAGTGGTTTGTGGGGCAGTCGTTTTGAGCGTTTTTGAGTTTTGAGCTCAAGGCCAAGGGGTTAACTTGATACAGGGTTTTTTAATCCTCACGCACGCTCAAATCGATCTGCAACACACACACACACACACACACACACACACACACACACACACACACACACACACACCACTGAGTCTGTCTATCGGCGTCATGAAAAAGAAAAGAGAAGATGCTATGAAGAGAGAGTGAGAACAGGCTCTCAGCTGCACCAAAATTAACTTTGCCCTACAGGCTATGTTTATTAGTACCAAGCGTTCCTCATGCATGTCTCTCGTTCCTCATGCATGTCTCTCGTTCCTCATGCATGTCTCTCGTTCCTCATGCATGTCTCTCGTTCCTCATGCATGTCTCTCGTTCCTCATGCATGTCTCTCGTTCCTCATGCATGTCTCTCGTTCCTCATGCATGTCTCTCGTTCCTCATGCATGTCTCTCGTTCCTCATGCATGTCTCTCGTTCCTCATGCATGTCTCTCGTTCCTCATGCATGTCTCTCGTTCCTCATGCATGTCTCTCGTTCCTCATGCATGTCTCTCGTTCCTCATGCATGTCTCTCGTTCCTCATGCATGTCTCTCGTTCCTCATGCATGTCTCTCGTTCCTCATGCATGTCTCTCGTTCCTCATGCATGTCTCTCGTTCCTCATGCATGTCTCTCGTTCCTCATGCATGTCTCTCGTTCCTCATGCATGTCTCTCGCTGTTGTGTACCAGTGTGAGGGTACTATGATGACTCCTGGGCGCGGACCGTGCTGGACTGTGAACTTCGGTTGTGAATGGTGCAAATGGAGTGATCATCATTAGGTCGGCTCTTGTAGCTGCCACAGCCACAAGGGAAATGGTACACACTGGAGCCAATTCCAATACTAGTGCATGTGCAACAAAATATCTAGTTTCCGTCAATGTCTAGTGAAAAGACAATATGCGCAAAAGATAGAGAAACATTCTCAAGAGGAAGTATACCAGAACTGATTGCTTGCTTGGATGACGACTGCACCATAGCTTGGTGGTAGAGCGTTGCTGGCCATGGGCGAGGGTCCCTGGTTCGAGTCCTCAGTGGTGGTGACAGCCAAAAAGGTTCTTCAGACCGTTTTCCTGTTCGTACCTTTCCCTCAAACAAATGAATAGAAAGGCTAAATGTTCCAGTGATAAACATACTGAGACTGTAGCAGCATCAGTCTGAGACTCTGAGGTGACCAAGGCCAATAGGTCTAGCATGGTGATGGCCACAAATCAATAAAAAAAACTTCTAATGACATTTCCAAACTCCACTAGAGAAAAGATAGACGTAAACTTTGTTTTCTGTTTCTCAAGGCAAACAGTACTGTGTAGCACAAAGAGCAGGAAGAATAGCGACACTGCAGGGGTAGCACATGGCCACATCATTAGTTATCTATATCCGATGAGCCAGGTAGCACGCCATCAATACTGAGCGAAACTACTGGATGCATCAATGGGGAGGTTGCTGGTAAGCTCCGTGTGTTAGGATGCATGTCTTAGAGACTCTCATTGTTGCTATGTGCAGTTTAGCATTGCCGCAGCCTGTAGGTATGATGTACTGAATACGCCGTTGTCATCATTGTGCATATTGCCGTTGTTGCAACCCTCATCAACATGCTTCAAGTAGCATTGTCACTGCGGCTGTTGCAGGTCACCATCGCCTACATGCACCATGCCGGACTGTGCCGGCACTTAGCAGCATACCAGTGGCGCATCACTGTGTTAGGTACGGACGGGACATCATGGCTGAGACCAGGGTCAGTCTTACCACTCTGCAAGAATGGGCAATAACCAAACACACATACCGGTACACATAAACACACCTCCTAGGTTCATCTTACACAAAACAAAATGCCTGCAACCACCCACTATTTCATGCTTTTCAGTATGTGAGACTTCATTCACTCTTTTCCTCTTTTCTTCTTCTTTTTAGGAAGTTGGGTGTTTATTGCATACCTTCATTGTTGTTTTATGCCTTCTTTTTGATGGTTGCTGTTGCTATTTTGGATTGGAATAAAAATGATTCGCCCACCCACAGATACAAACAGATCTAGAGTAGGCTGATTGGTTACAGTATTACAGTGGATGTCACCGGGGGTACTGCAGCAGTAATACCAGTCACTCTCCAGGGGCGTCGGACGGTATTTTGGGGTAGTACGGTCAGTCATCTGAAGTACAGTTTACTAGTGGGGGAGGAATGGCGGAGCCGAAAATTTTGGAAATTTAGAGTCCAGGTCAGTGTATTGTATTGATTCACGGGTACCTGGGGCAAAAAGTGGTACAGTCAATACCGTAGTGACCGTACCGTGTCCGACGCCCCTGCCCTCCCTAGCCTGGGTGCCCGGGCAATACCTCGGTACTACTCACCGGGGGTATTGGGAAGAGACGGACAAAGTTCCTGCGGTGCACCTGCTCTTGGAAAGCTTGCTTGAAAATACCCAGCTGCTCATCACTCATGCACTGTTGACACAGCGCACAGATCTGGAAACGAGAAACCGGGAGATATGCTCACAGACGGCACTCGCTAGCTGTACCGGATATCACAATACAATGTATGTGGGTAGTTGAGATACCACTATAAGATGGGTAGATACAGTAGGCAGGCCACAGTGACCAGGTTACCCTGCATTTAAAAGGAATAGTTCCATTATTCCCATGCCAAAAGTGAACACTGTGACTCCAGAAAAAGAAACTAAACTCTGATCCTTGTGCTTACAGAACATCAGAGTAGTAACACAAACCGAGTGACAACTTGCTACTAACAAACCGTGACCTGTAGCTGCATGTATTGGTGAGTCAATACACTCGGATCCGGCTCACAGCGACATTACCTCTGCTTCACAATGCTTGCATTTGTCTTGACTGCACTCGTCGACTGGCACGATGACATCACTTTTGCGTACTGTCATAGCACGTTCTTGATCGTTCCTGAACAGTGCACACACACACACACACACACACACACACACACACACACACACACACACACACACACACACACACACACACACACACACACACTCACACACACACAAACACACACACACACACACACAAACACACACACACACAAACACACACACACACACACACACACAAACACACACATTCGCATAGTACATGTACATACAAAGATACTGGTGTGCTTGTCAAGGACATCGGCTTGTGCACAGCGGCATGAATGTATAGAAAGGCACAGGCTCAGTGGCTGTGCCCACAGCACCGTGACCTAGGCTTTCCACGAGGAGGATAGTGTACATAGGATTCTGCAGTAACGTAGAAAGTTGCACAGATCATGCAGACCCTTGTGTCTTCTGTGATCAGGCCTACATATCATGACGATTTGTGTTCTGTGTGATCAAACCCACAGATCATGAAGCCACTTACAGTTTGACCAGCGGTCCAGCAACATAGTGTGCAGCTCCGACCAGTGCCAGTGTATTGAATATGACCTGCTCGTACATGATTGCATTCTCTGGGTGAATGGATGATGACAGATTAGGTGACATGTTCACCTGCGCAGAAAGATTGAGGAGCGAATACCAAAAACATGTACAGGTAGTTTCAAACTTGAAATGAGATCATAAGTTTCAATCACTGCAGGCTACAATGGGTTAGCTTTGCCTTATGTACAGGTCAGCAAGCATGCTCTGCTGGCAAGCAGGTTTGGTTATACTGCTCTGCGACTCACCAACATTAAACACTGCATATTTGTGCAAAGAGCGGCGATAATGAGTACACGCACATGCACGCATGCACGCATGCAAACGCGCGCGCACACACACATACAGTGGACTACTGCATTGGATTGGTGAGTGTGGCAAACAATAATACCATTCAAGATGGTAAAGAGAAGGAGTGGGTGCAGGACGATTGGCGGGAGGCCAAGGACAAACAGCTTACCTCCATCAACCAGAGGTTGAGCAGATCATCAATGACAAAGTCGAAGCGAACCATTTCAAAGAAAACCCTGAATAACACAGGCAACAGATTCAACGTTAAAACACGTATGCCACGTCTTCCAGTAAATGACCAGCACCAAGAACCGCTCAGCCAAAGGTTCATTGATACTCTGTGTACACAGCTACAGGCTCGAGTTCCCTATGTAGTCAAAGTTCACTCGATATTGGTTTGTGCATCCCATATTGCATGCTCGCAAAGATGCACGCCCTTCCATATTCATGAGGGCTGTGTCCTGTAGCTGTTTCAATTTCCAACAACCATAACACCCTCTGTGCGGACTAAACCATATTGGTACCTGGGTGTAACTGAAGCACTTAGAAGACCTGAGATTGCAATAATACTACTGTCAGATGATATGGTCAAAGTAGCTCCTACTAGTATTGGACTTACTTAGGATCAGGGTATGTTGCCATAGCCACCTTGATCTCCTTCTCCTTGGATGTGGTCACCTACATGACAGTAGTAGAGAAACATGGATAACACACTTTAAATACTTGCACTAATTCTGGCACTGCAGTATGCCACTCGCTTGGGGCAAACTTCACATACCGGTCAGTTACACAGTTACACTCAGCAATAAACCGGGTGACATGAGCAAAAACAGTCCGGTTCATCACCTGTGTTAACACTCAGTTTGAAAGGCCTATCCACTGACATCATCAAACCAGGGTCACAACGCTTTTACTAACCTCCCTAATCGAAGTGCGTATTTGCGACCAAAGCTTTTCTGGATCGAACCCTATCGAGCACAAGGACACAAAAAACAAACATTATCGCCAAACTAGCCACAACAGGCCCACAAATGAAGCTTGCAATGCAGGTGAACCTTTAGGATATCACTCATTCCCGTTGAAATTGGCTGCATATATACACACAGAAGATCATGACACAGATCCAGCACTAGAGCTGATAATTATGTGTACATAGGACAATCAATTTATAAGAAGAAAAGAGGACCAGCGAGCTACAAGCTACGCTATAAAATCCACTAATACCACCAGTTACTTTACAATCAGCTCACGCGATAACATTGCAGGGCACTGACCAACGGTACTGACGTTCTACACCTCAGCAGTAACTGGCAATCAGCTCTAGCATGTCTTAGGTGCGCACTCCAACAGCCTTCCAGTGTGGAAGGTTCTAAGTTAAAGAAACAACATAAGGAGGGGTGAGCGCGTTCAAGACAAGCACGAGCTGAAAGTCTCAGCTGTGGAGTACCGTTGGTCAGTGTTGTGCAATGTTATCGCATAAGCTGATTGTAAAATAACTGGTTGTGTTAGTAGATATTATAGCATAACTTATAGCTCTTTGGTCCTCTTTTCGTCCTCTTTTCGTCCTCTTTTCGTCTTATAAATTAATCCTTGCCTCTCCATCCAAGTCTAAGGCTATAGGACAATCAACCAATCACCCAAGTCCTCCTTTCTACTTCACTCTCCCCTTTTCACTGCGTACTCTGCGTGGCTGGCACTTCCCCAAGAAGCTAAGGACCTTTCCTCTCTCCGCCTTTTTAAGAGCCTTGTCGCGCCTTGACTTTGATTTTGTGTTTCTCATTTTGTTGCAATCACTACTTATCCATGCCGGTTCCTTTTTTTTTTTTTCTTCTCCCCTTCTCCCTTCCTTGCCGTGGTTGGCTAACACCCTCTCTCTTTGTATTGGCCGGTGTTCTCACTGTGCTATGAGATGCTGTAATAAATAAATAAATAAAAATAAACATCAATCACATCAATCACATCCTTGTAGAGCTGCACCGCCTGAGTAGGATTTGTGGTACTGAAAGGGACCGAACTAATGACTTTTTGATCCTACCATAGTCAGTTTACTGCCATCAGTAAAACGTTGCAGTTTCAAACTGAACTGCAACAACATTCCCATTCATGGAAGCTAACCTTCCATCTACAGAAGTGCTGACACTATGAATTGGCAATATCTGAAAAAGGACGGGTGATTTCTGTGATGTACTGCTATCACAGGCAACGTGTAAATCATGAATCATGTGTCCAGTTCCAGGTGATGAGACTTACTCTCACTCACAGGCTTCTCTCATGTATGATTCATGCTTACCCTTCGTCATATTGACCTATCAATCCTATACCATCATCAACCTCACTGAGATTACGTTCAGTCGTGTACCGTGCTGAGCAAACTAGAAACCAGTTGTGTTGCAGTGCCTTCTCTCTTGGATGTTGAGTCACGGCACTAGCTAGCAACTAGTGGTGGTATGAACATGACAGTTTCTGTATGCACAACTGGAAATGTTGGCTAACCATGCGGCAATCGGGTAATCGATCGTCAAGCAAGCAAGTAATTTCTGACTGAAAGATGATTTAGCCCTAGCTATTAGACAAGTGATGATCATAATATCTAGTGTCTCCAAGGTCTGCCAAGCACTGGAAATACACTAGCAGTAGCCTATTTTCATTGCTCAGCATACGACACGCCGTCGGTGAAGTGCTCTGCTTCTCTTACCCTTTGATTTGAGGTGTACATTGAGTGTCTGCTTCATGCTGTACTGAAGGTCAATGATGGAGTGCTTCAAGGAAGGAATCTACCAAAAAACAGCATTAAGGCAGGATATTGTGTTAGTATCACATTGGTTCAAAATTAGAATTATCAACGCCGCCGACACCGATAAAGATAAGGAGGGCATTCAGATAAGCTTTGGCGGCTCGGCAGACCTGCTCAGCAGAGGCAAGCCGGGCCTCTCGAGCCAAAGCCATCTGGACAACCTAAGGCAGTTTGCTGCGGATCGCAATGGATTTTATTTTTTTTATTCTTATTTTACTAGGGAATTCCCAACAGGCGTCATCGCCTTCTTACAGGGAACCCTAAGAACGTCTTGATGGATGATCGAAATGGATGGCGGCAGATAATCTGACGGAGTCGCCACAACTGCCGGATATTGACATACATATATTGGACAGAGCTAGAAAACAGCAGCGGAAGCATGTATAGCACTGCTGTGCATGTTGTACGCGTATCTGTGTTATTACTCAAGTCTGTGGACAGCAACTGTTTCGCTCTGTTAGAGCTCATCAGCACAGCTCAGAGGACCGAAGCGCAGCTCTTCGCAATGAAATATGTTTCCGTGATACGTTTCCGTATCTGTGTTATTATTATTATTATTATTGGCGGCTCGGAGCAGACTCCACCCTTTCAGCCGTACCAGCTGAGAAATCGTGCCGTGCCACTATTGTGCCTCCCACTAGGTATGGGTATTTGTGTTAGATGACACCTAGGTGAGGGGTGCCGGCGAGGGTATCATAGCCTGGCACATATGCCATGTACTGTAGATTAGCCGGTACACTGAATGATGCACTGCACGTGTTGGACCTGTACACCTTCTAATATGTTCCCTAGTTGTACCTTGCCCATGCGATCATGAGTTGTTTGTACTTTCAAGTAGTTAGTCATTTTGGTCTGGTATGCGATTCCATCCTGACTGTTGGTGTTACTGCTGCGTTGTAGTGACATGATCACCATCATCATCAGTCAGCTAACTTCTGGTAGCTTCCTTTCTTGTTCCTGGAGCATGCACATTAGAAGGTAGACCTCCTACGGAGTCATAACCTCTCCCGCTTGCACTTTCCTTGTGTGAAGGAGTCTACTGGATTCCTTTGCCTGCCGTATCTTTTATTCACATATAAGGCCACACGTTTTTATTCCTATGTTTCTCGTCACCCGCGCGCATACGATTCAGGAGTCTGGAAGAAAAAAAGAAAAAAAACTGTGCTGCACTGACTGTGCATGTGGGGACCAGCACACTCATGCAGGTGTACATAATGTGGCCTGGCCAGCGCGACACATGATGCGAGGTTGGCATTTTTTGTGCGAAATCTAGCTGCACATGCACAGATTGTGACAGAAGTGCCTACCACCTTCTAGTTGCTAACTATGGATGCTATTTTGCATGGTGTATTGGTGGATTTTAGTGTGAACAAAGGTCTAATAAACTTTTTTATTTTTCGGTCATTTTTTATTTTTTTCCACCTCTCGCATACGTTTTTAGATTTTTAGGTGACGAGAAACATAGAAATAAAAACTTGTGGCCTAATGTCACATACATTTGATACTCGACAGAATCGTAGAAACAGATAACAGTGTGCAGTCTAGGTTTGGAGCGGCTGTGTGTAAGGGATATTTGAGTGGTTTTATAATAGTGTGCGGTTACCCCCCCCCCCCCCCCCCATAAGATGGCACAGACTGCACTCATGTGACTGAAGAGAAAGAGGTCAATATACATGAACCATCGAATTTTTGGTAGTACACTTGATGTCACATCATGACTCGAACCCAGAGTCCATGCCCAGGATCTCGAGCCTAAAACAGAGCATCCAAACTGCACACAAAACAGTACTCCCAGCCTGTTTGATTCCAATGCCAATGACGATCCTGTGACTTACCGGTACAGGTTTACCCTCGTTAGTACACAACCCGGGGGGTGTCAGCATTTTTGTCTTACAAGTTCTATCTACTATCCAGACTTGCACATTTTTCTACTGTTTTACATCATTCATATTGTATCTGCTTCAGAAATGGTGTCTCCTCAATGTAAGACAATTTTTACCCCAGACCCCTGTACAAGACAACCCTTTTTAAGACTATTTCTCCATCGGACCCCGATACAAGACAACATGAAACACCGATTGAGCTATCCATGGCCATCAGCTTTGTCTTGTAATGAGGGAATCGAACCTGTGGGGCAGCTGAAGGTGACGTTATAACGAATTTTGTCTACAAACGAATTATCTCTTATCCGGACTTGCATGTACGACTGTTAAATGCATTTCGTCAGGGGATTTTGGATCGGTGTCTACTAATGAGGTTTGTCTTGCAACTGATATCGTACTAATGAGGGTAGACCTGTATTGCAATTTCCAACTTTCATATTTAGTATTATGTTGCAGGGGAGGGGGGGGGGGGGCATGTAAGGATGCAGAATGTCTAGATAGCTATCTGCCTGATAGAGTACATAACCCCCAAGAGTGTGCAACTCCAGCTATGGAGTCTGCGACGGTAGAACTTCACATCACGGGACGAACCCGTACACATTTGTTGAACCCTGCATGATAGATACAGGGTTGAACGTAGCCCTGCGTTGGGCTCAACTCTCCTGTGGTCACTTTGCACTGCTTGCCAGCGTAACCTTTTGAACCATGACATGTGATGTGAAATTCTGCCTCCGCAGCACTGTATAGAGGTTGTGCAGGCATTTGCACGCTCTCAGTGGGGTTTCTCGTATGTACTCTTGCTTCCAGTCATACCAGCCAAGTATTAGTAAGTCATGCAGCCAGCACAGCGGGCACACAATTACCTGACTTGTTGGCGTGTATTTGTCACCGATGACATACTTCTCGACATTCGTTACATCCAAAGGATGATAGTCCACTGTGCAAAACCTGTCCGGAGCCAAAGCACAGGTACAAACACAAACCGTGACAAAGCACAGGTACAAACACAAACCGTGACAAAGCACAGGTACAAACACAAACCGTGACAAAGCACAGGTACAAACACAAACCGTGACAAAGCACAGGTACAAACACAAACCGTGACAAAGCACAGGTACAAACACAAACCGTGACAAAGCACAGGTACAAACACAAACCGTGACAAAGCACAGGTACAAACACAAACCGTGACAAAGCACAGGTACAAACACAAACCGTGACAAAGCACAGGTACAAACACAAACCGTGACAAAGCACAGGTACAAACACAAACCGTGACAAAGCACAGGTACAAACACAAACCGTGACAAAGCACAGGTACAAACACAAACCGTGACAAAGCACAGGTACAAACACAAACCGTGACAAAGCACAGGTACAAACACAAACCGTGACAAAGCACAGGTACAAACACAAACCGTGACAAAGCACAGGTACAAACACAAACCGTGACAAAGCACAGGTACAAACACAAACCGTGACAAAGCACAGGTACAAACACAAACCGTGACAAAGCACAGGTACAAACACAAACCGTGACAAAGCACAGGTACAAACACAAACCGTGACAAAGCACAGGTACAAACACAAACCGTGACAAAGCACAGGTACAAACACAAACCGTGACAAAGCACAGGTACAAACACAAACCGTGACAAAGCACAGGTACAAACACAAACCGTGACAAAGCACAGGTACAAACACAAACCGTGACAAAGCACAGGTACAAACACAAACCGTGACAAAGCACAGGTACAAACACAAACCGTGACAAAGCACAGGTACAAACACAAACCGTGACAAAGCACAGGTACAAACACAAACCGTGACAAAGCACAGGTACAAACACAAACCGTGACAAAGCACAGGTACAAACACAAACCGTGACAAAGCACAGGTACAAACACAAACCGTGACAAAGCACAGGTACAAACACAAACCGTGACAAAGCACAGGTACAAACACAAACCGTGACAAAGCACAGGTACAAACACAAACCGTGACAAAGCACAGGTACAAACACAAACCGTGACAAAGCACAGGTACAAACACAAACCGTGACAAAGCACAGGTACAAACACAAACCGTGACAAAGCACAGGTACAAACACAAACCGTGACAAAGCACAGGTACAAACACAAACCGTGACAAAGCACAGGTACAAACACAAACCGTGACAAAGCACAGGTACAAACACAAACCGTGACAAAGCACAGGTACAAACACAAACCGTGACAAAGCACAGGTACAAACACAAACCGTGACAAAGCACAGGTACAAACACAAACCGTGACAAAGCACAGGTACAAACACAAACCGTGACAAAGCACAGGTACAAACACAAACCGTGACAAAGCACAGGTACAAACACAAACCGTGACAAAGCACAGGTACAAACACAAACCGTGACAAAGCACAGGTACAAACACAAACCGTGACAAAGCACAGGTACAAACACAAACCGTGACAAAGCACAGGTACAAACACAAACCGTGACAAAGCACAGGTACAAACACAAACCGTGACAAAGCACAGGTACAAACACAAACCGTGACAAAGCACAGGTACAAACACAAACCGTGACAAAGCACAGGTACAAACACAAACCGTGACAAAGCACAGGTACAAACACAAACCGTGACAAAGCACAGGTACAAACACAAACCGTGACAAAGCACAGGTACAAACACAAACCGTGACAAAGCACAGGTACAAACACAAACCGTGACAAAGCACAGGTACAAACACAAACCGTGACAAAGCACAGGTACAAACACAAACCGTGACAAAGCACAGGTACAAACACAAACCGTGACAAAGCACAGGTACAAACACAAACCGTGACAAAGCACAGGTACAAACACAAACCGTGACAAAGCACAGGTACAAACACAAACCGTGACAAAGCACAGGTACAAACACAAACCGTGACAAAGCACAGGTACAAACACAAACCGTGACAAAGCACAGGTACAAACACAAACCGTGACAAAGCACAGGTACAAACACAAACCGTGACAAAGCACAGGTACAAACACAAACCGTGACAAAGCACAGGTACAAACACAAACCGTGACAAAGCACAGGTACAAACACAAACCGTGACAAAGCACAGGTACAAACACAAACCGTGACAAAGCACAGGTACAAACACAAACCGTGACAAAGCACAGGTACAAACACAAACCGTGACAAAGCACAGGTACAAACACAAACCGTGACAAAGCACAGGTACAAACACAAACCGTGACAAAGCACAGGTACAAACACAAACCGTGACAAAGCACAGGTACAAACACAAACCGTGACAAAGCACAGGTACAAACACAAACCGTGACAAAGCACAGGTACAAACACAAACCGTGACAAAGCACAGGTACAAACACAAACCGTGACAAAGCACAGGTACAAACACAAACCGTGACAAAGCACAGGTACAAACACAAACCGTGACAAAGCACAGGTACAAACACAAACCGTGACAAAGCACAGGTACAAACACAAACCGTGACAAAGCACAGGTACAAACACAAACCGTGACAAAGCACAGGTACAAACACAAACCGTGACAAAGCACAGGTACAAACACAAACCGTGACAAAGCACAGGTACAAACACAAACCGTGACAAAGCACAGGTACAAACACAAACCGTGACAAAGCACAGGTACAAACACAAACCGTGACAAAGCACAGGTACAAACACAAACCGTGACAAAGCACAGGTACAAACACAAACCGTGACAAAGCACAGGTACAAACACAAACCGTGACAAAGCACAGGTACAAACACAAACCGTGACAAAGCACAGGTACAAACACAAACCGTGACAAAGCACAGGTACAAACACAAACCGTGACAAAGCACAGGTACAAACACAAACCGTGACAAAGCACAGGTACAAACACAAACCGTGACAAAGCACAGGTACAAACACAAACCGTGACAAAGCACAGGTACAAACACAAACCGTGACAAAGCACAGGTACAAACACAAACCGTGACAAAGCACAGGTACAAACACAAACCGTGACAAAGCACAGGTACAAACACAAACCGTGACAAAGCACAGGTACAAACACAAACCGTGACAAAGCACAGGTACAAACACAAACCGTGACAAAGCACAGGTACAAACACAAACCGTGACAAAGCACAGGTACAAACACAAACCGTGACAAAGCACAGGTACAAACACAAACCGTGACAAAGCACAGGTACAAACACAAACCGTGACAAAGCACAGGTACAAACACAAACCGTGACAAAGCACAGGTACAAACACAAACCGTGACAAAGCACAGGTACAAACACAAACCGTGACAAAGCACAGGTACAAACACAAACCGTGACAAAGCACAGGTACAAACACAAACCGTGACAAAGCACAGGTACAAACACAAACCGTGACAAAGCACAGGTACAAACACAAACCGTGACAAAGCACAGGTACAAACACAAACCGTGACAAAGCACAGGTACAAACACAAACCGTGACAAAGCACAGGTACAAACACAAACCGTGACAAAGCACAGGTACAAACACAAACCGTGACAAAGCACAGGTACAAACACAAACCGTGACAAAGCACAGGTACAAACACAAACCGTGACAAAGCACAGGTACAAACACAAACCGTGACAAAGCACAGGTACAAACACAAACCGTGACAAAGCACAGGTACAAACACAAACCGTGACAAAGCACAGGTACAAACACAAACCGTGACAAAGCACAGGTACAAACACAAACCGTGACAAAGCACAGGTACAAACACAAACCGTGACAAAGCACAGGTACAAACACAAACCGTGACAAAGCACAGGTACAAACACAAACCGTGACAAAGCACAGGTACAAACACAAACCGTGACAAAGCACAGGTACAAACACAAACCGTGACAAAGCACAGGTACAAACACAAACCGTGACAAAGCACAGGTACAAACACAAACCGTGACAAAGCACAGGTACAAACACAAACCGTGACAAAGCACAGGTACAAACACAAACCGTGACAAAGCACAGGTACAAACACAAACCGTGACAAAGCACAGGTACAAACACAAACCGTGACAAAGCACAGGTACAAACACAAACCGTGACAAAGCACAGGTACAAACACAAACCGTGACAAAGCACAGGTACAAACACAAACCGTGACAAAGCACAGGTACAAACACAAACCGTGACAAAGCACAGGTACAAACACAAACCGTGACAAAGCACAGGTACAAACACAAACCGTGACAAAGCACAGGTACAAACACAAACCGTGACAAAGCACAGGTACAAACACAAACCGTGACAAAGCACAGGTACAAACACAAACCGTGACAAAGCACAGGTACAAACACAAACCGTGACAAAGCACAGGTACAAACACAAACCGTGACAAAGCACAGGTACAAACACAAACCGTGACAAAGCACAGGTACAAACACAAACCGTGACAAAGCACAGGTACAAACACAAACCGTGACAAAGCACAGGTACAAACACAAACCGTGACAAAGCACAGGTACAAACACAAACCGTGACAAAGCACAGGTACAAACACAAACCGTGACAAAGCACAGGTACAAACACAAACCGTGACAAAGCACAGGTACAAACACAAACCGTGACAAAGCACAGGTACAAACACAAACCGTGACAAAGCACAGGTACAAACACAAACCGTGACAAAGCACAGGTACAAACACAAACCGTGACAAAGCACAGGTACAAACACAAACCGTGACAAAGCACAGGTACAAACACAAACCGTGACAAAGCACAGGTACAAACACAAACCGTGACAAAGCACAGGTACAAACACAAACCGTGACAAAGCACAGGTACAAACACAAACCGTGACAAAGCACAGGTACAAACACAAACCGTGACAAAGCACAGGTACAAACACAAACCGTGACAAAGCACAGGTACAAACACAAACCGTGAC